CCTGGGTGGCTCAGTCTCCAACTTCTGTTCAGGTCATGATGTTGCATTTCGTGGGTTTGAGCCCAGCGTCAGGCTCTGTGCTGACAGTTGAGAGCCGGGAGCCTACTTCAGATTCTGTGTCTCCCTTTCTCTCTTCCCCTCCCCTGCTCATGCTGTGTCTCTCTTTCAAAAATAATTACTAAAAAAGTTTTTAAAAAGAAAAAAACCTAGGAGGACTGTTGGGTCTTTAAGGCAAGACTGTTTGAGGTGCACTTTAATTTGTAATATGAGGTTCAGAGCTGTGACTGAATTGGTCACCTGGGTACTTTCAGTGCTCTAGTTCTCCATTTTCTCCATTAACTTGTTGATGGTATAGCCTGGAAGCCAGGATTCTCAAATGCTGTCCAAGCAATCTTCCTAAAACTAAGCTCAACCGTCTTACCTTGACTTTCCCTTAGGAATGGATTTTTCCAGCCTCATTGTGTTCATTTACTGTACTCAGCCCTTGAGGTCCTTACTAACCGACTGAAGCAAGGAGAACCTGACCAGGCCTTGGAGGAATTGCTCAGGTGGGTCAGACTACATATTACAGAGTGTTGTCCCAAGAAACTCCTAGAACAAGATTAGCAAGATTTTTTGGAAACCACTTGGGTGTCTCCCAGTAGTCGTGAGAGAAATTGATGTTTTCAGCTGCTTTTCCTCAGTTATATGAGCTTCGTCACGTATGTATTCAGATAAACCCTGAAACATTAGAAACTGTTGAACAGTCCTACTAAATCTTTGTTCATCCTTCATCCCCAAAGTTTGCCTTTTCAGGTAATGATCTTGAAAACACTAGTAATCTGTAGTGAACTCTTGATTATCCAGGAACCTACTCTGTCTTTTAGTACGGTAGGGTAGTTAGGTAGCAGTAATTACCACTGATCTTCTCTCCATCTTGGAAGAAGAGAAGCCTAGGCTGAGGGCAGGCAGTGGAGGAAGGAGGTGAGATCTAAGAAGCATGGCTCCCAGCATCCTATCCCAGCTTCTCCCCGAGTAATTTGGTGTTTCTCTAACCTACTCTATGCTGTCTTTGGGTCTGCAGTCATTATTTATCATCCCTATCAGGCAAGACCTTACTTTGTTTTAAATATAGTGCTTTTAAATTTGTTTGACTTCCTTTCCATAGTCAATCAGAGAGTTGACTGTAGTTTTATTTCAACTACAATTTTGAATTAATTTGAATTAATTGTGACTCCCTATCTCCCATTATTTCAGTACAATGAAAACTGACCATATATGGCACGCTTATTTAAAAGTTCTGCTTTCTCTGCCTTATAATTTCCTTTCTCTTGTCCCTATAAACGTAGAATTTAAGCCTTATTCTCATTGTGTTGCCCTAGGCCTTAAAGAGCAAATAATTTGTCTAGGGTTGTTCATACAAGCATGGCGTAGACTCCTATTTGGGTCTCTGGTGTATGTGACTCTTCAAGGCCAGCACTCCATCCACTGGGCTCTATTCTGCCCTGGCTTTCTTCATACAAGGTTACAGTTCCCTATCAGGGTCCTGAAAGGTGATGGCCACAAAAGCACCTGAAAATGATTAGACTATTAAATACATAAGTGGACTTGAACAACTCATGAATTTAGACATATCTGTAATATTTGTGGTATCTTTTTTGTTTTGTTGTCTCCTTTACAGCCAGAGCTTCAATTACTTGCAGAATTTCTCTCACAGCATTCCCAGTTTCCAGTGTGCTCTTTATCTCATCAGACTTTTGATGGTCATTTTGGAGAAATCTACAGCTACTAAGAACAAAGAAAAAATTGGTGATGGACTCAGATCATCATTTTTTTTTTTTCCATGAATAGGATTAATAATTCAAGTTTGTAAACTTAGTGCTTCTTAGGAACTTGTACGTTTTACATGTAAATCCCCCCCATAACTGTGGGTGTGCCCTCTTGCTATATCAAGGAACTGTGATTGATCTCTGCTGACATTGCTTAGTCTGATTGGGTTAGTTCAGTTGGCTAGGTAATTTTCTGTTTGCCTTCTGTTTATTCATGTCTTTTTTTTTTTTTGGTAAATCATCTGAGATATTTGACAAAAAGAGATACAAACTACAAGGTAAATAAAATGGGTGGGAGAAAGAGAACAAATCAAGATTAAGTTTAAAGAAAAGCTGAGCCCCATTCCTAATCTTTATCTTTGGTCATAGCTCTTAGAATGCAACTCATTGATTTATACATCCTAATTGGCAGTACAGACAGAACACCAGAAGAAAATGCAAAACAAACCTTTTATTACTTTCTGTTAATTTCAAGGGAAGCGTTTGGTGTGAATCTGAGGTTGCCATGGCTTATTGGTCTGCCCAGGAGGAACAAGATTGGTTTTCCTACTGCTCAGCAGTGTGTGTCTATTCAGTTTATGTTTGTGTGTGTCAGGACAGGGTAAGAGGGCGGAACATGTTGAGTCTTAGGTTTATTTCTGGTAGAAGGACCACTGGAGCAGGAACCCATGGCAGCTTTTTTCAAATTGTCTGTTAGACTAGGAACTTCATAGTAAATATAAAAAAATAATAATAATCCTTTTGGGGTGCCTGTGTGTCTCAGTTGGTTAAGTGTATGACTTTGGCTCAGGTCATGATCTCACAGTTCATGAAATCGAGCCCCGCATGGGTCTCTCTGCTGTCAGCATAGAGTCCCTTTCTGATCCTCTATCCCCCTCCCTCTCTGCTGCTCCCCCTGCTCACGATCTCTCTCTCTCTCTCTCTCTCTCTCTCTCTCTCTCTCTCTCTCTCTCAAAAGTAAAGATAATAATAATCCTTTTGATCATTAATCACCCCCCAAAAGACTGGAAAACAAGAGTTTGGTCAATTTTCCATGCGTGAAATGCGTTTGTCTTGTTTCTCCAACAGCTTCATTAGCCAAACAGTTCCTCTGTCGTGTATGGCCAAGTGGGGAGAAAGAGAAGAGCAGCATCTCTACTGAGCAGCTCCATACTTTGCTCAGGTGAGAGCCTCGGTTTCTTTACATGAGCCAAATAGTCCATTTTGTCACTGTTGGGATCTCTTGCCTGGTCAAAGACTGAGGAATTACTGTGGTTAGGGGGAACTTGGAAACCATGAAGTAGGTTTGAAATTAACAAAAAGTTGGATAATTGTATCATACAGCTGAAACTAATGTGACATATGTTGATTATACTTGAAAAATAAAATAATTAACAATTTGGAATATGTGGATTGTAAGATCCTCTAGTTCTGTTTTATATTGTCAGCTAGTTCCTTATTATTAAATTATAGAGGAGAAAATGGAGGCGTGTGTAGTTGTATTGTGCCTTGTTAACCAGAGTTTTGTAATTTTTTTTTAAGTTTATTTATTTATTTTGAGAGAGAGAAAGAGTGCATGAGTAGGGGAGAGGCAGAGAGAGAGAATCCCAAGCAGACTCTACACTGTCAACAGGGAGGTGGATGCAGAGCTCAATCTCACAAACTGCGAAATCATGACCTGAGACACAGTCAAGAGTTGGACACTTAACCAATCGAGCCACCCTGGCGTCCCCAGAGTTACGTCGTTATGTATTGCCTACTATATCCAAGACTCATCCATCACTTCCAAAGTGTCTAACTGTATTTCCAATTAAAACATCATTTCCTTTACCTCCTGACAATTGTCTGGAATTTTCATCTTATTAAGAATAAATGCTAGGGGTGCCTGGGTGGCTCGGTTAAGTGTCCCACTTTGGCTTAGGTCATGATCTCAACAGTTCGTGGGTTCAAGCCTCATGTCAGGCACTGTGCTGAGAGCTCTGAGCGTGGAGCCTGCTTCAGATTCTGTCTTCTCTCTCTCTGCCCCTCCCCCAATCATATTCTGTCTCTCTCAAAAATAAATATTAAAAAAATTTTTTTTTAAAGGATAAATGCTAGTAGTTATTGTAAAGCTAAATAGCTGGTAATATCTCAAGAAGGAAATCTTGATTTAGGAATTCTGTAACGTGTTCATACTCCTGTTGCTCTCAATGCAGCATCTACCTGGAGCATACAGACAGTGTTCTGAAGGCCATAGAGGAGATTGCTGGGGTTGGTGTCCCAGAACTGATCAGTTCTCCTAAAGATGGATCTTCCTCCACATTCCCCACCCTAACCAGGTAAAGGAGTTCTCTCTTCCAGTTCTTTCCCTAAGTTAGAATCACATTGTCCAATGTATGTGGTTTCCAAATAACTACCTTACCCTTCATCTAATTCTGTTACAGATGGTAGGTACAGTAATTCATTCAACACATAGAACGTATACTGTGCATTCTTTCCAAGGGGTTCTCAATCAACCCATGTGAAAGGACCTTAGTGACGAATGAATTTTCAGTAGAGTCTTCAAAGACAATAAATATTTAGTCACCAAATGTGTCTTGTTAGTACTTTCATCCTTTAAAAGTGAGACTAATATTTTAACCACCTTTAGGATAAAGTGATTATAGTATCCAATCATGTGTACATCTCAGTGGGTTTTTTGTCTCATACAAAGTTTATAAATCACTTTCACATTCTTTATGTCATTTAATCCTTGCATCGATTCTGTGAGTAGGTATCATTATCCCTGTTGTACTGATGAGGAAAATGAGCGTTAGAGAGGGAACTTACTCAGACTTAAACATGCAGTAATTATGGAACTAGGAACTTGAATTCAGATCTTTTTACCACCACTTCATGGCTCTTTCCATGCCACTACACCGTTTCCCTTCATAAAGTTAATTCCATTGTTTCACAGGCCATCTTCTTGGACTCCTTTTTTAATCCTTTCAACCCCCACCCCCATTCTTTTACAGTGGACCTTAGTGAAAGGAAATTCAAAGAGGTGGAGAAGGAAATGATTTTTGGTTCCTTGGCTTCTTCCTAGGAAGTTCTATCTAACTAGTCATCCTTGTGTGGGTGTGCATATTTTCCCCTTTTAGGCACACCTTTGTCATTTTCTTCCGAGTGATGATGGCTGAACTAGAGAAGACAGTGAAAGGTCTTCAGGCTGGCACAGCAGCAGACTCGCAACAGGTGGGTCACATACTCCCAGCACAAGAAGTAGACCTGACTAACTAGGAAGCTTCTGTGTCTTCTATTTCTGGGGTCCAGGTTTTCTTCTAAGCTACTTCCTTTGAGTTACAGAGATCCAGGATTCTTTTTCAAAGAACTCTTGGTTTAATTTCTTTCCTGTCAGTTTGAGAGAGGATTGGGTTCTGTATTCCCTGGCTACTACCCAAGGGAATGCTCAGGCTTCTCCATAAGCCATAGCCCTGGAAAAAATGTCTTTGGTCCCATGCCTGGCAGCTTGCTGCTTGTGAGCTGGTATGAGGTGAACAGGCCTGTTTAAGATGCTGTCACGCTGGGCCTTGGCAGTCCGCTAACCAGAGCTGAGCTAGACTGCTGACAGCATAGGTATCAGAGAAGCCACAGGGATCTGAACACCAGCAGGTGTGTTACAGAGGCTTTTTCCTATTTAGATGTTACTGAAGAGGAGTTTTCTTTTTAGAAACTCTCTCTGAGGTACCTTAGTGTTATATGTATGCGGGCCTCAGAGCCATCTTGTGGGTGCACTGGTAAGATCTCTGAGAGAATAATTGGCTTAAATTAATCTCTGAATAGCTTTGTAATCCAAGACCCATATGTTAGTGGGAATACAATAATAGAAGTACTTGGCTGATTCAGAAGTGCCTATGTATTTGATTACCCCCAGATTCATGAAGAGAAGCTCCTCTACTGGAACATGGCTGTTCGAGACTTCAGTATCCTCATCAACCTAATAAAGGTGAATGTGGAGGCTCCTTGACCCACCTCACCAGCTAACTATAGAAACCAACAAGGGTCCTGGCTTCCAAAATGGACCTTCCTGCTCCTTTCCCCACCCTTCCTTGGGGTTTGTTCTTCCCTGTCTTCCCTTATCCCTCTACCCATCCTGGATAACCCCTTCTTCTCTGAAAAGGCAATGTCTTTTTCCTTCTCTTCCTTCCTCTTTCTCTGTCTGTGCCACAGTACTATTAAACAGATCTCACCTTGTCTTGGGTCCTCTGTGATCTGAGTACATTTCCACTAGCTCCCTTTTCCAATCCTGAATGCCTTCTTTATCCCTCAAACACAATGTGTACTCTCACCAACTCCATGATTTTGCTAGGGTATTCTCCCAGCTCAGAATGTCATTCTCTCGCCTTTCTGCCTCTCAGTCCATCTGTCTTAAGGCTTCACTTCAAGGTTTGGACCTCTACAATGCCATCTTAATATCCCTGAGTTAATATCCCTGAGTTAGAGTAAATTTCTTACTCTTCTTTGCTTCCCTCTTCCTTTTTTTTGAATTTCAGTGATGGTGATTACTTTAATTTCTGTTTTGTAATTAACTATTGACATGCCTTTTTCATTTTAGAATTCTCTACACCGCCCAGAGCTGTGATTTGCACAATGGGGAAGAGGCTGGGGGTGCTCAAAGGAGCAGACCTCAGCTTTGGTTTCTTGTCTTTTGTGTCTCCAGGTGTTTGATAGTCGTCCTGTTCTGCATGTATGTTTGAAGGTGAGAAAATGACCTGGCCTTCGTTAGTATTTATGGTTCCTGTGGATCTCTAGAGATGGCCTCAGCAGAAAGGAGTTGCTTAATACTTTGTCCACAAGCCAGAATTTTCAGAATCTGTGCTAACAGGTGGTAGTCTAGAAAAGACAATGGATATGTTTTCCCATACTAGTTGGATGACTAGAGAAGCTAATTTTGCTATGAGTTTGAAAATTTTTGGTTTGAGTCTTAGAACTAGCAGGAGTGGATTCAGGGCGGCCGACTTTAAGAACAAAAGTCACTCCTGCCATTCCTTCCCAGGCAACAGGGAGGAAGGAGGAGTGGGTGATTGCTCTTTTTAAAGCCCATGGCTGGCCTCATGAATGTGGAAGCTGGTATCCTGATAACCACTGAACTCCTCTCCCAAGGGGAGAGCCCATATTAGCCTTAGATTTGATGACGGGTCAGGAGCTAGGGAATGTTATTGGGAGAATGTGTCTTTCCGACTCCTGATGGTTCCTTCCAAGTGAATAGCACCTTATTCTTGTTATCTTCTAGTCCCTCTCTTCCTCTTTACTCTCTCTGCCCTGGCCCGGTGTGGGAGATGGGTGAGTAGGGAGAGTGGTTTATCTGATCATTAAATTTGGCAGTTGATTATGTGCTTCCTCATCTCTATACCTTTTTCCTTTTGGGTGTAAGTGGTCCTTAGGGAGATGCGGTCCTCCTCTGTTTTCTGTGCTCTCATTCTTACATGGATCAAGGCTTCTGCTCATTGTCTGTGTCTAGGGTAGGTAAGTTTGCCTAACTCTGAGGCTTAGTTAGCAGGCCCATTTAGTTTTTGAATTAAACTTACATTCTCCAAATTAACCTTTTGGATTCCTCCCTGCTTATTTTTTATATACAAAAATAAGATAAAGCCCCTGGGCTGGGTGATGCTATGCTACCTCAGGCAGGGGCTGTTCTGGTGAAAGGCCTCAACAGAGGTCATCACTAGTGTGTCTCTTCTCTTCTTCAGTATGGACGTCTCTTTGTGGAAGCATTTCTGAAGCAGTGTATGCCACTCCTAGACTTCAGTTTTAGAAAACACCGGGTAAGAACTGAGAACACAGAAGAAAGGTGTGCTGTGTACAGTTACTCAGAAGATACATCCATGGTGACTCCTGAGCTCGGAATGGGGGTGGTCCCATTCCTAGGATCTGGGCCACCATTCTGCTGGGGCTCCTTTGGTCCACTTCAGCTATCACCAAAGATGCCCATATTGGACCAAATATTTCAAAGTAGGCTAAACTCCTCAGACCCACTCTGATTTAAACCCACCTTTCTACTTTTACTTCAGATCTGGGGGTAGTTGTTCCTTTTAGCTTGATTTTATTGTGTTGCTGCATTCCCAGCACCTCATGGATCAGTGTGTCATTTGCTTATTCCTTTGCATTTCTCTAGGTCTACCCTCAGAAATAACAATAATAATAATAATAATAATAATAATAATAATAGTAATAGTAGTAAACAGCTCATTGTGTCATAAACTTTTTGCTGTTGTAATGGATAGTCTGGAGAGTTTTTTTGGCCAAGTGAGATTCAGGGTTAGAGTAGTGAAATAAGGATAAAAACAAAGGATGATTCCTTACACATATTTAGCAAGTTTGCAAGACACTCTCACAGTATTTGGTTGGTTCCTCCTTATAACCTAGAAAGAGAAAGGGGAGGATAGCTAGTTAGTCCTCACTTTGAGGGCCAAATTGAGATGATTACCAATACGAGGCTGGGACCTGCAAGGTTTATCCTCTTTGGAGCCCTTGGTTGCATCTAGAATGAAATTAGAGCATTTAATATGGTATTTATGAATTTTGTTGGTTGTAGGAAGATGTTCTGAGCTTACTGGAAACCTTCCAATTGGATACAAGGCTGCTTCATCATCTGTGTGGGCATTCCAAGGTAAGAGGGGAGAGCAAGTCATTGCATCATCCTGCCTGTTGGCTTAATCTCAGTGTGATCAAGAGATCCATGGGCTCCACTTCCTTCATCCTTTTTTACCCTTCTTGAGTCTTTATTTTTGAGACTGTGTGTGTCCAGAGACAGTTTAATTCAGAGTGGTCAGATCCTTAGTTGCTAGTTGAAATTGGGCAATCACATAGAGGGAAGTTTCTGGCTCTGAAGTTTGACTCAAACTCCATAGCACTGTTTCCTGTAGAAGCTTCTCTTTGGTGAGAGATAGAGAATGTTGGTGGATGTGTTGCTGCTATAAAGTACTCTGGGTGGGAGGAATATTATATAAGTGATGATTTTCTGCTAGAGACAAGAGGTGGTTCTAAAAGCAACCATCTGTAGAGCTTTTCAGGCTCTACTAACTTGTCAAAGAACACATCTGTCTCTTGTGAGAACATTTTACCATTAGAGGATTTTTCCACTTGAAGCCTACAGTTGAACCATTGTCACTTTTTGTCTGAAGGCATACAGAACCACAGAGCTCTGTAGTCATAGGCAAACCAAATAATTCCTGTGGCTCACTTCTTCACTTCGTTCTAACTTTAGAAGGTGCTGAACAGTGGAGTTATAAGGGATACTCTGTTGTTTAATATCAGTATAATACATATTCAAGAATATTTTAGGTGAATTCCTTGACAATTAGTCAATAAGAGGTTATGAAGAAGAACCTAAGGTGTCGGTGTTAGGTCTTCTAGGCTCTTTTAGCTTGAAGGAGAGCTGCCATTCTCTTTAGAGATGGCTGTTTAACAGAAATGTGTCTCTGGCCTGTACTGGGAGGACCTGTGCTATTTTTTAGTGTTCACGATGTCAGGAATTCACAAGTTTCTGTGTAGGAATGTGAAAGAATGATAGTCCAAGTGAGTTGGGTGCATTGGTTTCTATTCAGATTCACCAGGACATGAAACTCACCAAACACGTGCCTTTGCTCAAAAAGACGCTGGAGCTGTTAGTTTGCAGAGTGAAAGCCATGCTCATCTTCAACAATTGCAGGGAGGCTTTCTGGCTGGGCAACCTCAAAAACCGGGACTTGCAGGTAAGCCTAGAGGCATGCCAGTGATAATCTACTCCTGTTCTTTGTGAGAGCATCAGAAGGTATGTCAAAGAGGTCAACTGAGCCCTGTTTTCTCAAGACTGTTTTCTCTTAAGGCTATGGCCATTTTGCTCTTAAAGTTAGGGCAGATTGGTCTTAGTCATGGTCTTATGGTCTTAGTCATGGGCTCCACCCCTCATCATAGCCAGCAAAGGCACCAAAACATGCCACTGATAATAACAATGGCTCAGAGATAGAAGAACCAGATCAGTAAAACCTCTCTCCTCAACCAGAGTGGGCTCCTGTTGAGAATCTACTGAGGGTAGATTCACAACATTTTTTTATATGGACAGACTTTTTTAAAAAGTTATTTTCGTTTTTTTTTTCCCCTAACCAGTCTGTCTTATTTCTGAAATTATTATCTGCCTATTTTTAACAAGTAAATATTTCTAAGGTCTTTCACCTGACAGAGTGTGTGAGTGGGGAAGAGGCAGAGACAGAGGGAGATACAGAATCTGAAGCAGGCTCCAGGCTCTGTGCCGACAGCTCAGGTCTCAAACTCATGAATGGCAAGATCATGACCTGAGCCAAAGTTGGACACTTAACGGACTGAGCCACCCCAGCGCCCCAGAAATTGTCATATAGGGTACAAGTCCTTCTCATTCACATATACAATAGCTCAGGGTTTTATAATCTCATATATGAAAAGAATAGCACCCCAGAGAATTAGTTTCCTTTTTTCACATGTGCTTTATGAGGTACTGTTATTTCCGCTGTACTGGTTTTTTTTTTTTTTTTAAGTTTATTTATTTTGAGAGAGAGATAAAGAACGAGCAGGGGAGGGGCAGAATGAGAGGGAAACAGAACCCCTAACAAGCTCCGCCCTGGTAGTGCAGAGCCCAGTACGGGGCTCAAACTCAGAAACCGTGAGGTCATGACTGGAGCCATAACCAAGAGTCAGATACTTAACCAACTGAGCCACCCAGGTGCCTCTTGCACAATACTATTAAACAAAATACTATAATAAAACAATACTGTCGTTTCCCTGAGAAGAGTAAAGCTCAGAGAGGTTAAGTAGCTTACCTAAAGTCATTTAGCGGTAAGTGAGAGGTGCCAGGATTTGAGTCCAAACAGAAATGATGAAAAGCTGATGTCTTTAAACCACTTTGTATGCGGTGTTTCAGCTTCTACATGGCCATTTGTAGTTGGTGTGTTGGTGGTCATATACCTTAAGGTATTTGGGAAATTTTAGAATGATACTCAACATTAAATGAGTCACCAGTATGTCCTGGCCTTGTAAAATCTAGTGTGATACTAGAATGCAACAATAGACTTCTTATAAAACTACATATTATATGGGAGCCACACTTACCTCAGAGTGTGATTATCACTTCTTTAGGTACTAGATCACAGTTTGGTGTCTGTATTTGACCATGTTTGAATGGCTAGAATATCTTGTGTTATCTACAAACCAAGCCTTTCTCACCTTGAGCCCCCAAATATGTTTATTGTAACCCACCATTTTTCTTGGCCCATCTGCATTTAGGGTGAAGAGATACTATCCCAGAATTCCCAGGAGAGCACAGCCGAGGAGAGTGAGGATAATACAACATCCCAGGTCTCCAAGAGCAAAGCAACAGAGGTATCTCTGCATAAGGCCCCAGACTGTGCAGTTGACAGTTGTATTTTTTTAAGTCAGTAGAAAGTATAGAACTTGCTTTTTTTTTTTTTATCTTAAATCCTTGTGAGTCGGCACTACTTTTTTTTTTGTCTGTCATTTTATTTTTTTTAAGTTTATTTATTTATTTTGAGAGAGAACATGAGCAAGGGAGAGAGAGAGGGAGAGAGAGGGAAAGAGAGAGAATCCCAAGCAGACTCTCTGCTGTCAGCGCAGAGCCTGGTGTGAGTCTCAAACTCATGAACTGTGCAATCATGACCTGAGCCAAAGAAGAGTTGGATGGTTAACTGAGTGAGCCACCCAGGTGCCTCTATATATATTTTTAATGTTTATTTTTTAAAGCGAGTGTGCATGTGGGAGCAGGGGAGGGGCAGAGAGAGGGGGAGACAGAGGATCTGAAGCAGCGTAGAGCCCAATGCGGGGCTTGATCTCAGGAACTGCAAGATCATGACATCAGCCAAAGTCAGATGCTTAACTGACTGAACCACCCAGTCACCCCAATGTTTATACATTTTTGAAAGAGAGAGAAAGAGTGCAAGCAGGCTCCACACTTAGTGTAGAGCTCAGTGTGGGGCTTGATCTCACAATTGTGAGAATGACCTGAGCTGAAATCAAGAGTCAGATGCTTAACTGACTGAGCCACCCAAGCGCCCTTATGTTTTGTGGTTTTTTTTTAAGTTTATTTATTTTAGTAATCTCTACACCCAACATGGGGCTCTCGAACTCATGACCCCAAGATCAAAAGTTGCAACTCACTGACTAAGCCAGCCGGGTACCCCACCCTGCTTACGTTTGTAATCAAAGACTTCTATGTTCTTCACCATTGCCTCCAGAAAAGCTTCTGTTTTTATATGAAATTCTGTGGGGGCCAAAAGACTCTCTCAAGTTGTGGCATATGTTGTCGAGTTGAAAAAACCATTTTATAGAGGAAAAAAGAAGCAGTCTGGTGTTCTCTGAGTGTTGAGAAGAATGAGTTAAACCATTTAAATATGTTTTGTGAATATATAAGATAGAAACATGAACGCATTTGGTGGAAACTAAAGCACAGAATCAAAAGCTGCAGTCACTAAGGACTACAGTAAGAGAAGGGGTCCTTATTCTTTTCTGGGCTATTACAGATATTTTCAGGACTTTACAGAAAGCTGAAGAAAAATGGATATTTTTATTGAATTTTGTTACAATTCAGGTGGGTTATAGACACCAAGAAGCTCAAATTTAAGAACCCCTCCTGTAAAGCCTCTCTATAATGCAATTTGAGGCTGATGCAGAAAGATCATTTAATATGAAAAATACTTTTATTACATGGTCCTCTGTTGTATTTGTATAGTATACCTCTACCTTGTTCTCATAAAAAAATTTTTGAAACAGTATCTTATTAGTTTGGTACTTTCTCCTAAAGCCTCCCAGATTAAAACTGGAAACCAAAGATTTTAATTTTTTTTAAGTTTATTTTTGAGAGAGGAGAGAGAGAGAGAGAGAGAGAGAGAGCGAGCGAGCAGGGGATGAGCAAAGAAAGAGGGAGACACAGAATCCGAAGCAGGCTTCAGGCTCTGAGCTGTCAGCACAGAGCCTAACTTGGGGGCTTGAACTCACTAACCGTGAGATCATGACCTGAGCAGTAGTCGGATGCTTAACTGACTGAGCCATTCAGGTGCCTCTACTGACCAAAGAATTTTATGCTGAATTCCTCTGGTGAGATACACCAGAATTATTTTAATTAAAAAAAATTTTTTTTTTCTTAATCTTTGTTTTTAAGAGAGAGAGAGAGAGGAAGACAAGATTTGAAGCAGGCTCTGTGTTGAGAGCAGAGAGCTGGATGTAGGGCTCAAACTCACAAACTACGAGATCATGACCTGAGTCGAAGTCGGGGGCTTAACCGACTGAGCCAACCAGGTCCCCCCCACCCCCAATTTTTCTTTAATGTTTGTTTATTTTTGAGACAGAAACAGAGCATGAGTGAGGGAGGGGCAAAGAGAGGGAGACACAGAATCCAAAGCAGGCTTCAGGCTCTGAGCTGTCAGCACAGAGCCCGATGCAGGGCTCGAACTCGCAGACCACGGGATCATGACTTGAGCTGAAGTTGGACGCTTAACCGACTGAGCCACCCAAGTGTCCCAAGATACACTAGAATTTTTATTTTATTTTGTTTTATTTTTTATGTTTATTCATTTTTTTTGGAAAGACAGAGACAGTGCGAGCAGGGGAAGGGCAGAGAGAGAGGGAGACACAGAAACTGAAGCAGGCTCCAGGCTCTGAGCTGTCAGCACAGAGCCCGATGTGGGGCCCGAATCCATGAACAGTGAGATGATGACCTGAGCCAAAGTCGGACGCTCAACCGACTGAGCCATCCAAGAGCCCCTACACCAGAATTTTTAAGTTAGCAAACATTTCATTCTATATTGAGTACCTACTTTGTTCTATATCACACACATGCAGTAGAGGTGGAGGACCATGGCTTATGTAAAAATCCTGTGAATTTGGTTCAGTTGCAAAATGTCATAGGTTGCTATCCCAGTGGCCTTCCTCCATAGTCTTGGCTTAAGAGGTCACAATAGAAAAATAACAGGGGAGCCTCAATTCCTTTTTCAGATGAATGTTTTAACACCCGTCATTGGTTTTAATGATGATACAGTACAGTAAATCCTGTGGGAGCAGTCTTGTAATTCATGGGGTTATTCAGATGACCTAAAATATCTAATTATCCTTTACCCCTTAGGATGGTGAAGATGAAGTAAGTGATGGAGAAAAGGAGCAAGATAGTGATGAGAGTGCTGATGACTCCGATTAGACCACAGAGAGACTGCTGCCCCTTCCCCATGTCTGCTAGCCTCTTCCTGTTTTGTGTTTAGGGTTTGAAATCTGTCTGCCTTCCTTACTGGAAGCATCCTGTTTTGTCACTGGGGTGGTGGGCTTTGCTGAATCCGCCGAATTTGAATTTCATAGGTTGTCTATCATCATCAAAGACCTTGGCTCATGATTCCACTGTAGCATTACTTATCGGTCTTGGGCAAACGTGGCAGTGCTATGCTGTGGAATAGATACTGGGCTTTGGGAGCTAGTTTTGAAACTTTTAGAATTTAGGATTGTACCAGTTTTACAAATAAATTGTTTTAAGTTCTGCCTGAACTACCTCATTCCTCTTTCTGAATTTCCTTCATAAGTCAAGTATTACATGGAATTCAGTTGGGGTTTATGCAGAGAAATAATGGAAATTGGTGTGAACACATCACTTCTACCAATTAAAATCACATATTTCCTATTCTAAGGACCATCTTTACTTGAGATGAGAAAATCTTTGTGATATTTTTGGAGGAGTGACAAATTTCTGGACAATTCCCGAAGAAAGTCAAAAGGAAAATTCTGGCTGCTTTTTAAAAATTCTCTGGTCATCCTATAGATAAAGAGGGAAAAGGCACCATCAAACTCATGTTGACTTTGTATATGTGTTTATTTTATTTCCACATTATTCTGAGTTATACCTATAATCTAGTTACAAGAATGCTACAAAATTACTTGTTGTTTATTAGAAGTAGAATAGTAGTACACCAGCTAAAATGGGGAGCTCTCTTGTGTTCCGCCAGAAAGCCCAGTTTCATTGCTGCCTCCAAGTTCTTTCTTGCCAGGCTATAAATATTTATTTAATATTTGTTAATATTTCTACCCACTTTAGTACTCTCCAGTGGCATTAGGATGTGGTTGTTAGGGTTTTTTGTTGTTGATTTGGTGGTGGGGGGGGGATTATTTTTTATTATTTTTTTTAATCCTTGAACCATCTATAAATTTTTGATCCCTTCGTCCTCATGTACGTGGAAATCCGTAATCTCCTTCCTTGACACCCCTTTGTTTCCCCAACTCATTTTTGGGGAACATGATGTCGTCTTAGATGTTGAAGTGAGTTCACACTAGGCTCATTGGTTTATATGGTTTAATGGTTCTTTATCACATGTACATGTTAACGCTAGTTTGACTCTCTTTTAAATGTTGTTCAGCTTTACAGTGGAAATGTTCTCCCTTGCTCCGGTCACTGGCCTTCTTTGGAGGGGAAAGGAAATAAAGGGGTTCCTGAATTGTCACTGCGTGACAGAAAAGCAAGATTGCTGGGGTGATGTCAGTTTCCTTTACACAGACAGGTTTCTGTAAACTTCAGACACATAGTAAAAGGGCATGGTATAAGGAACAGGAATCAGATGGGAACCCTTTACTTGGAGTGTTGTAAGGCAAAAGTGCACTTCTTGTATGTTGCATACAGTAAGAGGATAGAGCGCAGCATCTGTTTGCACATGGTCACTGTCATCTGAATCTGAGGTTCCTTAAGTCCAGTGGGCCACTGGTGCTCCCGGGTGATGATTTTGCAAAAGGCTGATTTGTCTGAAACTCTGAAGGTTCCGGTCCATTTTGGTGGCTGAGCTGTGATGACCCTGCCAAACACGGAATCCACTCCACTGAGGCGGACAGCCTGGGGCTTCCTGACCAGCCCTTTCTTGTTCATGGTTTGGAGCTCTGATGTGTGGCAGGGTAACTTGGGACTCACCCCAGGCTCCAGGAATGGGCTGTCTAGAACTAGAGTGACCTCTTGAAAGCACAGCTGCACTTCAAGGTCAGAAGGGGTATGTGGGAAGCAGGGGGAAGCCCTAAAAGGGTGCTTTGAAGAAGATGTAGGTGTTGTGTGCCGCAGCCATTGGAAGCTCTCGTCCAGTGGGGTCCATGGTGACCAGAGCTGGTATCCTGCCATTGACAGTCCTAAAGAAGAGGAATCAGAACATGGAATTTCCCTAGCATGGTTTTGGGAAGGGCATGGCCATTTAAATTCACATTTAGTTGTTTCATTATTGACTTTAACTTATTCTGTAGTTCTCATTAACAGACTCCAATAGATGCTAAGGATACTAGTAATTCTATAAAGTGCAGTAGTGGATGGTCACAAGTATTGAATCTGGCAACTACTATGTATACTAAAACTTTATTAAGTCTTATCACAGGCCTCTGAAGGTAGGTTTTAACCTATTTTACAGGTGAGGAAATGGGTTTGTCCAAAATGGAATACCCCGGTTCACCATTATAACTGCTAAAGACAGAATCTACACCTCTGAGGTGGCAGAGGATGCTGGCACTTCATGATGAAGTGGTCAGAAGCTCAGAAAGGCCATATCTTACCAGATATTTGTGACTCTAAATCCCATGTACTTTATTTATACCAGGGGTTCTCAAAGTATGATCCTGGCACTAGCAGCTTCAGCACCATCTAGGAATGTAGAAATGTACATTCTTGGGCCCTACCTTAGACCCATAGCATTAGAAACGGGGGGTAGGGCCTTGCAATCTACATTTAAACCCTTCAGGGTATTCGGATGCACTTACTATTTGAGAACTTCTGATGGTGTCCCTTTTAAGGAACTTAGGTTTTCACTATTCTTCATTATGGAGACTGTCTCCTCTTGACCCTAAAAACCTGTTTTTTAACATAAGGGAACAGCTCTCTCAGAGCTCTGAGGTACTTATGTACCACCTCAGAGGAATTACACCAGGCTAGAAGGAAAAAAGGTTTCCAAAGGACAGTCTTTAAATAAATGTTTAAACATTTTTCTGATTCTTCTAGGTGTGTTTTATTTTTGACTTTGGTTTGTTATGGGAGACCCAGTGGTTAAGATTGTGATTTCCCCCCCTAGGGGCGCCTGGGTGGCGCAGTCGGTTAAGCGTCCGACTTCAGCCAGGTCACGATCTCACGGTCTGTGAGTTCGAGCCCCGCGTCGGGCTCTGGGCTGATGGCTCGGAGCCTGTTTCCGATTCTGTGTCTCCCTCTCTCTCTGCCCCTCCCCTGTTCATGCTCTGTCTCTCTCTGTCCCAAAAATAAATAAACGTTGAAAAAAAAAATTTTTTTTAAAAAAAAGATTGTGATTTCCCCCCCTTAAAGGAAAAAGAAAGGGCTGGGAGGATGTTGCTAACTCAAAATTTATTCAAGTAGAAAATGGATTTTCCATCATTCTGCTTTAAAATTGCCAATATATAAAAGGTTTTACTGAATTAAGAAGCTAACATTTTTGAGCACCTATGTATTGTGTTACGGGGCATAGCAGTTCCCTTTTCTTTCCAGTCAAGTATTTTTCTCTGCCCCTTCTCTCTTCTCCCACAAAAGGTAACAGCAGCAGATCTGATCCCATCCTATCTAGTAATTGCCCAAGAAATGTGAAAAGTTGACTCCTCCACCATAGTTTGTAAGACAGTAAAGTTAATTTTAAAAGAGAGTTGTCGGTAGCATCAAAAACCACAAAATACCTAGGAATAAACCTAACCAATGAGGTAAAAAGGTCTGTACGCTGAAAACTATAGAAGGCTTAAGAAAGAAATTGAAGACACAAAGAAATGGAAATAATGGATTGGAAGAACAAATGTTAAAATGTGAATACTACCCAAAGCAATCTATATATTCAATGCAATCCCAACCAAAACAGCACCAGCATTCTCACAGAGCTAGAACAAACAATCCTAAAATTTGTATGGAATCACAAAAGATCCCAAATAGCCAAAGTAATGTTGAAAAAGAAAACCAAAGCTGGAGGCATCACAACCCCAAACTTTAACCTGCATTACAAAGCTGTAATCATCGGGGCGCCTGGGTGGCTCAGTCGGTTAAGCGTCTGACTTCGGCTCAGGTCATGATCTCGCGGTCTGTGGGTTCGAGCCCGCATCAGGCTCTGTGCTGACAGCTCAGAGCCTGGAGCCTGTTTCAGATTCTATGTCTCCCTCTTCCTCTGACCCTCCCCTGTTCATGCTCTCTCTCTGTCTCAAAAATAAATAAATGTTAAAAAAAAAATTTAAAAAAACTGTAATCATCAAGACAGTATGGTATTGGCACAAAAACAGACATAGATCAATGGAATAGAAGAGAGAACCCAGAAATAGACCCACAAATATATGGCCAACTAATCTTCAACAAAGCAGGAAAAAGTATCCAATGGAAAAAAATCTAGCAAATGGCGCTGGGAAAACTGGATAGCAACATGCAGAACAATGAAACTGAACCACTTTCTTATACCATACACAAAAATAAAATCAAAATGGATGAAAGACCTAAATGTGACAGGAAGCCATCAAAATTCTATAGGAGAAAACAGGCAATAACCTCTTTGACCTCGGCTGCAGGTCTCTGAAAGCAAGGGAAATAAAAGCAAAAATGAACTATTGGGACCTCATCAAGATAAAAAGCTGCTGCACAGCAAAGGAAACAACAAAACTAAAAGGGAACTGACGAATAGAAGATACTTGCAAATGACATAAAGGGTTAGTATCAAAAATCTACAAAGAACTTGCCAAACTCAACACCTGAAGAACAATCCAGTGAAAAAATTGGCACACGACATGAATAGACACATTTCCAAAGAAGAAACCCAGATGGCCAACAGACACAGGAAAAGGTGCTCAACATCACTCATCATCAGGGAAATACAAATCAAAACCACAATGACAAATCACCTCACACTGGTCAGAGTGGTTAAAATTAGGAAACAACAGGTGTTGGCGAGGATGTGGAGAAAGGGGAACCCTCTTGCACTGTTGGTGGGGATGCAAACTGGTGCAGCCACTCTGGAAAACATTGTGGAGGTACCTCACTATTTTTTTTAAATTAAAAATAGAATTATCCTATGACCCAGCAATTGCACTACTAGGAATTTATCCAAAGGAAACCAAAATGCTGATTCAACGGGGCACATGCACCCCAATGTTTATAACAGCACTATTGACAATAGCCAAAGTATGGAAAGAGCCCAAACGTCCATCAACTGACGAATT